GAATTACATATATCACGAGCTCACGCGGTTGCAGCACCGAAGATCTGTGCCAATTTCGCCATTTCGGTGAATATAATTTGGAATCTCATATGAATGTGGATACTGAGGACAAACATACTGCAATATGTTCATTTCATTGTAATCAATACACAATTTTTTTGCTAATTTTATTGAGTTTTGCTTTATTTGTGAAAATAATGATTTTTTTGTAAATAATGAAAATTTTAGGCGGTAGCTTTTGAGACATGCGGGCGGTGGACGCAAATCTATGACTTACATTCCAGTCGATGATTTCCATCTACAAGATTCTTCAACCATTATTAAATCATTTGGGATCACCTTCAACCATTATTAAATCATTTGGGATCACCTTCAACCATTATTAAATCATTTGGGATCACCTTCAACCATTATCAAATCATTTGGAATCACCTTCAACCATTATTAAATCATTTGGGATCACCTTCAACCATTATTAAATCATTTGGGATGCAAACAAAATTTTGATTATTACAATATATCCCGTTTTCTTGTGTTTTTGTAGCTTCAGTGCCGTTGGAGATGCCTGTGAAGAACGGTAAAGCTATATTCTTTGTTCTGGTTCACTTGTCAGTAGCCTGCCTAAGGTCTTATATTTATTACGTAATTGTCATTTATACCTCCGCCCCCTCGATCGTAGAAGCAACAAATTTTGGAGGATTTATTTTATATAAGCTTATACGAGTTACGATATATCAGTTTTAATGAAAACATTATTGAATACTTCTACTGATAGTATTACTATAGAGATAATATCCCAGTCATTTGTTGTTCCTATGCTCATAGTGACTGCCAAAATCAATGAATTGTTTTCTGTATTAGAGAGGTATTCGCATTAGAGAGGTATTTGTATTAGGGACCGGTCATTATTTATGGCAGGGGGTGGCACCGAAAAGAAAAGGGTTGGGTAAACAAACTTTTGAGCGAGTAAAAGGTTGGGTAAATGAAAAACAAAACAACTTAAGGGTTGGGTAATAAAAAAATTTATTGTCATTTCCAAAGCATGACTCACTGAAATATTGGAGACTGAAAAGCAATGTCAACAGTGATATGTCAATACAATATGTTAATCAATCTGAGTCACTATCTTGATCATTTCAGTCCGATTTGTTGCAGATAACATGAAACTTTAGAAAATTTCACAAGCCGTTATCAAACTCATGTCACAAAAATGGTAAAGGACACGTGTGACAACTGAGTGGTTTTCAATTTGTAAAGTTTTTGGCCAGGGGTGGGTATTTATTTTTTAATTGATATTTGAGGTTGGGTAATCAAATTTTTGACTTTTTAATGGTTGGGTCAGCAAAATTTTTGCCACAAAAAAACATTTCTCTTCGGTGCCACCCCCCACCATAAATAATGACCGGTCCCTTAGGGAAGTGCATGTCCGTTTAATTAAAGAGGTGTCCCTATTCGAGAGCTGAGGTTTCCATATTCGAGAGGTTTCCATAAGGAGAGGTATAATGTGTTTATTTTCTTCAATAAATTTTTTCTGATTTAATAAGTGTGTAGAAAAGTGGAAAGTTTGGGCAAGTCAATGTCGTGTGGAAAAGGTGAATATGCTGTAAAATATTATACAACGGGGTTTGGCGGCTGTGGAACAAGGAAAACTTCTGCTGGCCAAGATGGCAAGAGAGGCTGCCGTGGTTTTGCTGGTAAAATGTTTGGGAATGTTCCATATACACCATGGTCGGGTTTTGCTGGTAAAGTGTCTGGGAAGGTTCCATATACACCATGGTCAGGTTTTGCTGGTAAAGTGTCTGGGAAGGTTCCATATACACCATGGTCAGGTTTTGCTGGTAAAGTATCTGGGAAGGTTCCATATACACCATGGTCAGGTTTTGCTGGTAAAGTATCTGGGAAGGTTCCATATACACCATGGTCAGGTTTTGCTGGTAAAGTGTCTGGGAAGGTTCCATATACACCATGGTCAGGTTTTGCTGGTAAAGTATCTGGGAAGGTTCCATATACACCATGGTCAGGTTTTGCTGGTAAAGTATCTGGGAAGGTTCCATATACACCATGGTCGGGTTTTGCTGGTAAAGTGTCTGGGAAGGTTCCATATACACCATGGTCAGGTTTTGCTGGTAAAGTGTCTGGGAAGGTTCCGTATACACCATGGTCAGGTTTTGCTGGTAAAGTATCTGGGAAGGTTCCATATACACCATGGTCGGGTTTTGCTGGTAAAGTGTCTGGGAAGGTTCCATATACACCATGGTCAGGTTTTGCTGGTAAAGTGTCTGGGAAGGTTCCGTATACACCATGGTCGAGAGGAAAGAATGTAGCAATATGTTGTAAGAAAATCGGACGAGACAATTATTGAGGATAGTCTATTATTATTGACTAAAGTCATGACCAAAGAGACAATTATCAGTGACTAAAGTCATGCCGATCCATGCACGATTTGAGTTAATGTAACACATATCACATATGATCTAATTTCTGCAATAAAGCTTTCTTTCTTGAGTGCATTTGGAAAGCAAGTATTTTATTTATGTGGGAACCTTCCAATGTACAGCTTGTTACACACTGTATACATTTATTGTTAAATCTAGAACTCTAGAAGGTACTTAGGTACTTGGAGACTTCAAACCTCCGTCAACGAATGGGCTAATAACGAATTTAATTTACCCTGCCCGGCAAAGCAAGTCAATTAATTTCTCATCCAATTTCAAGTCAAATTTAACCAAAACTTGTTCAATTTGTCCTTGGGCCATTAGTCCCACATGTCAACCTCGTTCCCAGACTCTTTCCTCATCCTCGACCTCGTTCCCAGGCTCTTTTCTCCACAAGAGGAAAGAGCCTGGGAACGAGGTTGCCGCCATGTGACTACTACAAGAATAAACCACTGACCAACCGTAGCAAGTGCTCAAATTTAATACTACCGAGTATCGGTAAAATTGTCGACCCATCAATTTCTTTGAGCCGATCAAAATTTGTACTTTGACATTTCATTTTCCACAAGTACAGTACAAAAGTTGACAATACCGACGAGCGAAAAAACCTTCCTATATGAAAATTGCTCCGTAATATATGTTGACTTCCTGCTGCGCGGTGAGCGTCAATAATATAATGTTTTGTTTTGAAACCATGGCAACAGTCATTACTTCACGTTGATTGCCACTTCTAGACACTTCCGCTGGCACATCTTACAGATCGCAGTAAAGATACATTTTAATGTTGTTTCTTCAAAGAAACTTTTAAAACTTGCAGCTAGCTGTTCGCAAACGACTTGACTGACTGATTTACTGAATTCGTTACGTTTGCTTACCTTGTTATCGCGCAACGATATTGCTACGAATCGGTTCGCTGGCCGGTTTTTTTCAATGTTGATTGCTCTTTTCACATTTTTTGTCATTATATATATAATTTAAAGATACAGCACATTATCTTTGCATTAATAGAGGCTTGTCTTAATTTTTTAACAAGCCTCATTTATAAAACATTTATGCCCACAGGAAAATTTATCCATTTAGGATTTGTCTACCTAAGTCCGTATAAAGCGTGAAATTATGAAAATTAGCCTCTTAAATCTCTTAGGGACAACGTACTGACACCAATGTTCAAGCTCATTCAGCGCGGAAATGTCTCGGTGTAGATTGTTCACGACCGCGTGTATATATTTACCGGAGACTATAGTCGGGTTTCCGGCCTTATAATGACTTTCATTTATGTTCTTGTTCAAAATCTCGTCTAATTTTGAAGTTTTCTTACAGTGCCTGAACTAAATCTCATTACCTAAGTTGTGTTTAATGCCGTATTTGCGTACTTTGAAGGAAAATTAAACAAGATAGCCGAACGAACCGACAAATGAATATGGTAGAATAATATCGAAATGAAGGAAATTACGTTCCTCTTTCAAATTGCCATGGCGATTCTCAAAACATTGTGCTTCCAACATGCATGCTATGCATATTAAGCAGTTTACACTTTCGTGACTCGAGACAAAAGACATTGAATTGAATAAACTTATTGGATTTAATGTTTACCTTTGCAAATTCCTCAGGATGTATTTCCTAATGTAACCTTCGAATGGTTGAATGGGGTACAAAAGATGGTAAAGGAGGGTAATACCGAGTCTTGGCTCCCGTTTAATGGCGGAGAATACTTAAAACAAGGGAGATATAGGTTTATAAATATGTAAAATGATTTCAATTGGATTCACGACACGTCGTTTGTGCTTTTTTTAACATGTGACATTATAAAATGCAACTTTGGACATTCGGATTAATTTTACTACTCATTCTGTCTTCATGGATGTATCTATCAACAGCAGATGAGCAAGGTATGGGATTTACGTATATTGAACAAAATATATCATGTATATGTATATGGTGGATGTATATTACAACTACAATGCGTGCATTGAATCGCACATTCCTGCTGTTAAATTCGGTTCTTTAAAACCTAATTACCAAATCTGTGTGTAAACTGACACGGTGTGATCTTCGCTTGCGAAAAATAATCCAAACAAGTTGTTGACTCTGTTAATAATTTATGTTGACAAGCCGAATTTCAAATTCCTAGTGTATTTACACAAACTATTTAGCCATATTTATCCTTTATGTCACCGCTGTCACGACACGACACAGCAGATTGCGTTGGCTGCTCTCAAATAGCTCGGAATCAGTGAATATATCGCATGAAAGCCGACTAATTGATGTTTTCATTCCAAAATCAAGTCAACATTTGGTATTTTTTGTTTTTTCATTTGTAATTGGCCCTTAGACATGCATGCTAATATCAAACAAACTCAACTAACGTTTTATACTGCATTGCTCGTTCTATATCAGCTCTGAATCTCCCTAGAGATCCACTAATGCCCTTTGACTTAGACTGGCATGAATCGTTCCCTCGCGATATCGCAAGAGGAAACCGTGATAGACGAGAAAACCTAATGACAGTTTGGTGGAGTCGAACTGGGACCATGCACTTTTCCTACCGATGTGACTGAAGCGAAATTATATAGTGGTGTTGCCATATTGTAGAAATGAAACCACTCAAACGATGTGAAAAGCACATACAATAACCGAGCAATAACAACTTGCATGTGACTGTGTTATAGAAACACCCCCACACCGAAAAATTTAAATGATGTACTTGAATCCGTGTAACAATTCAGCAAGAGCCGAAACTTACGATTAAGCAATACTATAGGTGATACAAAACACGTCAAGAACATTTTTATAGTAGTCTAGTTAAAATTTGTATTAGCTGAATTATTTCATGGTTAGTTAGTCATGTTTTTAAAGATTAAAAGAAGTAAAATAACTAGGTAATTAAATTTATTACACTGATCTTCCGAACAAATGTCTGCACAGAAGACGTGAACAAATATATATATATATATATATATATATATATATATATATATATATATATATATATATATATATATATATATATATATATATATATATATATATATATATAGAAAAGGTTTCAATGTGCAACCAAAAGAGACATTTATAACGTAAAATAAAATAAAAGCCACTCAAATTTTGCACAAACGTTTTCGCTTTAATGTTAGCTCCTCAGGTGCATATTTACAATTAAAGCGAAAACGTTTGAGCAAAATTTGAGTGGCTTTTATTTTATTTTACGTTATAAATGTCTCTTTTGGTTGCACATTAAAACCTTTTCTATATACGACACTTGTATGAAACTATAATAGTAATAAAGATGCCTGGTGGAATTTGTTGAGTCGTTGCACTTATTTAATTATGCTCTGGGTATCCATTGAGCACTCTGCCAATTGTTTTTGTAAACAACGAAACCTAATTATATATATATATATATATATATATATATATATATATATATATATATATATATATATATATATATATATATATATATATATATATAAATAAATTATAAAGTACAACAATCAACAAAATCCATATATATATATATATATATATATATATATATATATATATATATATATATATATATATATATATATATATATATATATATATATATATATAAATTATAAATTCAAAAAAGGTTGCCCTTGAAAAACATTAAACCTTAAACATTGAGCGCGCAAGGTTTGATGGGGAACGTCCTCGGGAAATTTGCTGTCGGCAAGCTCTGCTTTGCAACAATGCTAGGGATGCCAATGTCCAATGTTAGGATCCAAGAAAATAATACCCATCATACCTTGCGGCACTCAATGTTTAAGGTTTAAGTGATTTTTTAAGGACAACCTGTATTATATTATTCAGATGTAGTTATAATGATGTTAAAATCCAGGCTTACGATCAAGATGTTTTGAAATAATTACTCGCGGTATCCTCGACAAAAATTGATTTGTGTATATATCGCCATGCAACACACAAATAACTATATAAACTGTAGAAACGAAACAAGAAACGACTCTTCTTGGACTCCTTATATAAACATTCGATATTGTGTGTGTGAATATTTTTTATCTACCACTTTTGTGCAGTTTTTGTTCTCATGATTTCCGATAAACTTCTTGGCAGGATGCTTTCAATAGCACGTGTTTGTTGTTCAATGCCGGACATTTTGTTTGGCGCCACAATTCTAAAGTATCAAAGAAGCCTTTTAGCCCAGGACGTTTGGGAGAATTTGTATTTTAATACGTTTTGAAAAAAAACCCTTTTATAATCAGTGCATATGCAGACTCTATACCTCCGACATTGTCTCTACAGAAACGATATCTCCTTTGTAGACTTGGTTTTTTATCCACATTTTGCTATAAGACAAGCTAATCGCAGGGAACCCTAGTCCCATGTTGTTTACTGAGAATTTTTTCAAATGAAGTATCAAGTTTCAACCTGAAAGGTTTGGGAGAATTTCTATTTTGATATTTTCAAAAAGTATTTGTAAAGATATTCTGAAAAATTTAGCAATATTAAAGGTAGCCTGAAAACAGACCTACGTTTCCCGCGAATTTTAGGGCGGGCGAAACGTAGGTCTGTTTTCAGGCTATATAGAAATATCTTACTGACAGTTGACGGCTAATAATTGACAATTATCTTGTAATGACCCCATTAAAGCATTTTAAATCTATGTGTATTTACTTGGGTAATGAACAATTTATTTAATTGTGGCAATTAAAAATACATAATTTTTTTCTGTGTTGGTGTTATGTACATAATTATATAGCATTTCATTCCTTTTTGGGCGCTAATCTAACGTAGCCTCTATATCAATGGATCGTTATGTGATAGTTGCTAAGTCATTAAGGGGTTTGTTTGTAAACATTAGCCTGTATTATGACATCTTGATGTATCTATATAATTATAATAAACAAGTTTATGATCTTATCACGTATATTGTGAAAGTGTTGCTATAGCAACGTGAAAACATTGATAGAGGAATTGGTTTGCTATTAAAGTTCATTGAGTGAAATTGAGCCGGGATTTTCAGATTTTTTTCTCGAAACTGAAAAGCATTAATATTTATAATCTATATCCAAATAAAGTACACTAAATTCCTTGAAAGAATACCTTAGTGCTACGTCAAACTTGATTGAGCTTTCTTGGTGTTTCTTAATAAAATGCAAGACACAATAAAAGATCATTTTCACTACCCAGAATTTGGAAGATTTATAGATCATCGAATGTGCTTTAATGTTGCTGTTTTAAACTAAATGAGATCTCTTTATTTCCAATTATTTCTTCACGCGTTGTCCTTCCATCTCTTCCCTTAAGTCTTAAGAGGGAGCGACGGAGAACTAAGTGGAAGGGTATGCTGGTGTTCTTCGTTCTTTGAAAGAGGAACTACTTATATAAGTCATATTAGAAACACTGATTAAACGAATCACAATCACTCTGGCCTGCTTGCAACGGTTTCTGTACAGAAACGCGTCGAATCATTATGTGCATTCTTTATGTCTAACAAGCTTTCGTTGGTAGAGATGCGACTACTTGAAAAATGAGGCCCTGTTAGGGGGGTTCTGAATAGTCCATAATCCTACGTAAATATTAAAAATAGTCGGTATTCTATTTTCGTAAACAAAAATATCCCTAAAATAAAATAGAACAAAAACACGTACTTCTATAACCTGAAATTCAGGCCCTAGTACTTCTATCACTCTGAGGCTTATATTGTGTTTTGTGACATATGTGTTCTCTATTTTTCACTACTGTTTTGGTTATTTTAATTGACTGAGACCATGATAATCAATATCCTTAAATCTTAAATTCCAATCTAATTAATCCATAATTCTCTCTTTTAGCTTGAAATAATCTGTAATCCTTTATAAAATACCCAGATAATCCTAAAACCCTAACAGGGCCTCAAAAATGTAAGGGGTATTTCGACGTTTCGGACTAAGGCCCATCGTCTGGAATAAGTATTTTTAAGTCTGTCGAAGTAAATAAGAAGATTATTTTACTGGTTGTTTTAGACGATGACGGCGACGACGACGAGTATGACGAAAATGAAGATAACCCTAACTGTAGAATACTGAAAGAAAAAGTATGCCGGAAGAACAAAAAAAGAAACCGAGAGTGCGAAGAAACAATATATTTTAACTGTAAACCAACGTGTAGATCATATGTGCGCAGCACTAAAACTGAGACTTCCAAACAGTATATAACCACGACTATTTACCTTTGTTCAACCTCGACTATATCTTCAAGTAGATCGATTCCAATCTCTAGTACTGTTGCGAAAATATCGATTACACCAAGTTTTCCTATGCCGAGTTCTATTGATTATAACTCAGGCTCGGGGTCGGGTGATGATCAGGAATCAGATGACGATCTTATTAGTTCTTCTGTTTCTCTATCACCAAGTCTTTCAACAGTGACAAGTTCGCCATTGTCATCAGCATTACCAATTACTCCTTCCAGCTCATTTGGTGACAGAACGGTAGGAGAAAATGTATTTTCGTCAGTTGTTCCAAGTTTTACTGTTCAATTTCCCTCCTCGTTTCCAAGTACTGCAACCGCTACGTTATCTGCAGAATCAAGTGTTTCATCAATATCTCCATCGCCAAGTCTGCGAACTGCAGGTAAATGTTTGCATATAAAGTTTTTTTATGGCTGTTCTGTTGCTAGTAATTGTTATTGCTGCCGTTGCTGTCATTGCTGTTGTCGTTGTTGTTGCTGTTATTGTTGTTGTTGTTGAAAATTAGATAAGATTGTATGCAGTAGTTACGTTACTGGTGCATATTAGCATATAGATTACTTTCTCAGTAAAATCTGGCAGTTTAAACCATTTCCACAGCCGAATTATTCGTTATGGTGTTTGCTTGTTCAAAATGTAAGATTGAAGAAAAAGAAGCATGACTTTCATTTTCTTGAATGTTCAATCCTACACTTTAAACAAAACAAAACCTTTCAATGAAAGTAAAACTATATTACGTGGTGAAGATTACTTTATAATTATTGTCGCTCGCTATTATTTGTCTTATATATCTCCAACAATACACTTGAATGTTGTTTTCACATATCAGAATTTCTTTCTATTCAACTTGCTCAATTCCCATACCTTTTTCTGTTTAAATAGCACCTTCATCAAGCCATAGAAATGACGATGATGATGATGATAAATGTGATGATGATGACAATGATGGTGATGATGATGGTGATGATGGTAATGATGATGGTGATGATGATGGTAATGGTGATGGTGATGACGATGATGACAGTGGGAAGTCGGATGATGATGCTACTGTTGACACTAGCATTATCACGCAGGAACAAGACGGCACTTATGACTTGGAAAAAGTTCAGAATCGTAAACGAGAGTCTTCAAGTAAACAAAAGAGTTCCTGCAAAACATCATCTGTTATCCAAAGCACCAAGTTACCTTATTCGCTTATCAAAACAGCACAGAAACACATAATAAGTAGTACACCATCCACGATTATTGCAACAACCAACAGCTCTCGTCCAGTTCAACCAAACGCTACTTCCTACAGCATTGCACCATCTGCAACAAGTTCAAATTTATCTACCATCAATACATCACTTATCAAAACAACACAAGGACACATATCAAGTGGCACGCCATCCAAGATTTTTACAATAACCAATAGCTCTCGTCCAGTTCAACCAAACGCTACTTCCTACAGCATTGCACCATCTGCAACAAGTTCAAATTTATCTACCATCAATACATCACTTATCAAAACAACACAAGGACACATATCAAGTGGCACGCCATCCAAGATTTTTACAATAACCAATAGCTCTCATCCAGTTCGACCAAACGCTACTTCCTACAGCATTGCACCATCTGTAACAAGTTCAAATTTATCTGCCATCAATACATCAGTTATTAAAACAACACAAGGACAGATATCAAGTGGCACGCCATCCAAGATTTTTACAATAACCAATAGCTCTCATCCAGTTCGACCAAACGCTACTTCTTACAGCATTTCACCATCTGTAACAAGTTCAGTGTCACCTGCTATCAATACATCTACATTAATTCCAAAACCTGACACTAATGGAACAGAAATATCAACAAAAACAATATTTCCGTCGAGTTTAATCTCACCATCTGCCAGTTTCTTCTCAACATCGGCAACTCGTTGCCATCCTGGTACTAATGGAACTGAAATGACAACAAAAATGATATTCCCATCAACTTCTGTTCCGATATCAGGTAGTTACACTTTAACTGCATCGCCAACACTGCCATTATCATCTTCAATAATGTCAGAATCGAGTAGAAGTATAGCACCTACTCCAGTTTTATCCTCATCGTCCTGGGAACATTCCAAAATGAATTCAACAGTGATTTCATCATCGTTGAATGCAACTCTGAACCAATCTAGAACTATCACACCAACAATGACGACAACAGTTATGGTCTCCTCTTCAATTCTAACTCAAGTACCTACAGGTAACGAACCTTAGTTTCATTTTACTCTAGTTTAACATTTCACGTTTGTTAACTTTGGGTAACTCACATGCCATGTTCCAACATAGAACAATACAAAGGTATCTAGCCTCTAGAATTATCTGTACGTGACTAAATAACTCTTATACTTAATTATGTTGCTTAGTTATCCATATTCTATTCTATGCTCTTGTCAACTGGAGAAATAGTAACTAGGTCTGTGGGTTATCCAATGTTGTAAAGTAGATGGCAATGATGTAACAAAACGCTAACCGATTCTGTCTTTTGATTGTACAAATTAATCTAATTTCATTTCTTTACAAAATATTTTAGTGCATTGCGGTGAAATCGAAACAGGTGATAAGTTTGAAAAAGGTATTCTCACTTGGCAAAGGACTCCGGTAGGAAGCAGAGCAAATACGTCTTGCCCTTACAATAAAACAGCAATTGCTTACAGATGGTGTCGGATTGCGAACAAGACTCAATACTGGGAAGACGTTCATGATGAAAACTGCTCTGTGTTGGAGAAACAGCCTATTGAGGAACTAATTAACGTAATTGCAAATTACTAGTATTTATTTGCCACTGATTCATTTGTGAATTTGAGATGTCTTCTGGGCCATACACAGGACTTTTTCAACATGGGAGTATATGCTCCAATAAGTACCCAAATGTCAATGCATTCAAGTCATGTCAGTTAGATGCATGCTAATGCCGGTCTATCCAGAATTTCCTCCCCATATACTCTGATTCACAAGATTATAAGCTTAATCATTTATAATAACATTATGAAATTAGGTATACCAAATCTGTTGTTGATTCACAGGAAAACATAACAGAAGAAAATGAAGAAAGAATAGCTGTACTGATGGACTACATTACCTCAACGTCAAACGTTACTGTTGATCTCGTCAAAAATGGTGCAGAGATGCTCGATAAACTAGTAGCTGGAGCCACGAATTTATCAAAAGTATGTAAGAGATGTGAAGGACCATGATATCATGACCACAGTAATGAAATCGTTTTCGCACAATTATTTCCGTTGTTGATCCATCCGCTTTAATGGTTATATTTTGACTTTGTTTCAAAGCCTTCTTCAGAACAATTGTCGGTCTGATGAAATAAAGACTTTGAAATAAAGTCGAAATATGACCATAATTAAAAGTTTTGTCTTGAATTTAATTAATCCATATCTTTGATTTTCATGATGTGTCTATTTGGAATTTGTTTTAATTAAATCTTCAGTATCTATAATAGGGAAAAATTTGTAATAATATCTGCAAATTATAATGGTTAAATTTTGCCAACCAGTGAATTTGCAACCATTACACATTTCTTCATTTTTGTTTTATAACAGATTAGAAAAGAATTACTCAGTTCAGTAAGTAACGTAATGAACGCAGATCCAACCGTGCTTGCTGAAGCAAATAAAGAACACAACTCAACAAATAAGTAAGTGGCTTAAATCTTTATATAATTATACTGGATTGAAGCTCCATAAAGCGTGGATTTCTGATCCAAACTGTTCTTCCTATAGGTCCAGGCTTATGGTGTTAACTAGTAAGCTTGTTGGGCACACAGTTTTATAATTATTGCTTTAAAATGTCACTGAAGAAGAAATGAACATGATTATTTCAACTATTCTTACTTGAATAAATAATGATAGGTTTGTATAAACAACCAACCATGAATAGTGTTCGTATATTTGGGTTGAATACTTTTTTCCATCCACTCTTCAGGTGGCCTTACCTGATCGAAAATTTTTGGGCACTCCTTCAGAAATTTATCTTCAGTACAACTGGATCAATTTCAGAAGATGTGCACAATATTATCGATCCAGCCTAGTAACGTACGCGATTTTCTTTTTAAGGGACTGGACTGTGGTAGGTTGTACCTTGTAAGTTACCATTTTGCTTCACATTTCTAGAATTCTAACATTTATTGGAAAACTGTTGGACGATATAAGTTTGAGTGGAAAAAAATTCATTCGTGAAAATTTGACAAATCTAGTTGCCGAAGCATGGGATGTTGCGAATAAGACAGAAGATCTCATATTTGAGAATATTTCACAAGACAAAGATGAAGATAATGATAGTTTGGTGTCTGTCAAGATGCCTCGCTCCCTGGTGCAGCGTTACAAAGAGAAACAAAGGATTACTTTCATAAATTTTTTGAACGATAAACTTTTCCCTCAAGATGGAGATGTGACGAAGAAATTTATCAACAGCAAGATAGTTTCAGTCAGTGTTAAGGTACGTAGAGGGTCATTAGCGATTATTTTGTCCCGAACCTACCACAACTCGGTTCGATACCAGATTGACATCGGAACTGTGTCAAATAAAACGCCTAATACAGACGTCCGCTGAAGAACTCTCGCAATTTGTCCGATTGGGCAACCAAAAAACAATTTAGAAATTGTAGTTGCCCGTATAGTGATTTTTAGTTGCCTCGGACAAGCAGGCAAACGTCAGGTTAAACCACTGTATTAACATTCCATTCATATCATTATTCTTAGGGTGATAAAGTCAGAAACCTATCAGATCCAATCGTGATTGAATTCAAAATAACCAATAGCAGTTACGCAAATAATTGTAGTTGCGTTTTTTGGGACTTTGAAGCTGATGGTGGATTGGGGCGATGGTCAAGTAATGGTTGCGTGTATGAAATTATTGGTGACGGCCGGTCTCGATGTAGTTGCAGTCATTTGACGCATTTTGGTATTTTAGTGGTAAGAATTATTAATAACTAATTCATTCTGGTATAATTCATTTGATATGACATAACACCTTTCTTAGTCTTCATCGTGTTACACTTACTGAATTACCGGCCTACTCTGGGATGGTAACTCGACTAAACACGCCGCGAGATGGTGCGAGTTTTGGCGATTTAAGGTGATTTAGAGTTAAAGTCCCCGAGTAGGCCTTCGTGTTAAATCTTATCAAATATTATAATCAAGGGAAAGGCAGATCTGGAAAAATAGTGTAATGTTCCTCAGATCCTGAATTTGCTTTTCTTATCTTCAAAAGTGCGTAAAACCAATGAAAATTTGACTGTAGGTACATTACGCTATTATGTATGCTAGAACAAAGTATACTTGACTGTATTTACTTTACATGTCTCAATGATACCTTAAGATTCTCTGATAACGTATGTATAAAAAATCGAGAATGTTCGTCAATCTTCTTGATAAAGCAAATTAGATTCCTCAGGATCCTGGATCCCGAGGTTTTCCCCCAGCTCTGTTTAATACTTTAATAATAATTGTTTAATAATTGACTATCTTGGCAATTAAAATCATCCTGTGTTAAGAAGGCTAGCACTAACAACATTCTACCCCACAGTGCTCATAGTATATAATGAAAAGTAATTCTCAACACGTTTTTTGAATACCAATTTTAGGATCTATTTCCAGATGAAGAAATTGGAGATACAGATCAACTTATTCTAGAAGGAATCACTTTCGTTGGCTGTTATCTTTCCATTGTTGGCTTGGTGCTGACAATAATCACCTTATTATCGTTCAAGTACGTATATTTAATTCATTTTAAGTTCATCACATGAGCAAAGATAGAATTCCAAGAATTTTATGGAAAAAATCCCGTGTGAACTCCAGGGAGACATGGAGAAAGTTATGTTTCTTCATTCGATGCTTATGTATTTCATTCATTTTAGGCAATACCGAAATGGAGTGAGCGGTCAAATTCTATTAAACCTTTGCCTAGCCTTGCTGTTTTCCTTAGTGATATTTCTTGGTGGAATTGAACAGGTTGATGACGAGGGCACTTGCGTTACTGTGGCAGCGCTTCTCCATTACTTTGTGCTTGTTGCTGTGCTTTGGATGGGAGTTGAAGCCTTTCATATGTTTGTCAATATTGTGCTTGATACTCTGCCTGATGAACTGGGGAGAACATTCGTATTTAAATGCGCTGCAGTGGCATGGGGTAAGATATGATGATATGAGTGGTGAAAACAATATTTTACAAACGAGTGCAACGAACTTATTAAAATTAGTGAAATTGCAAAATTTGGTTACGAAATGTCCTGCCCTGCCTAGTTGCCTTGCCTTGTTTAACCTTGTGAAGATTGCGTATTTTGTATATGTTTGTATTACGTGCGGAAATTGTTACCATTTTTTAGCTGAAAATGGTAACAATTTCCGTACTTAATACAAACATATACAACATTTGCAAGACTATATTTTACAAGTCTTACAACACTTCGCAACCAAACTTTCCAATTTTACTAACTTCATCATGCTCTTTTTAGGTGTGGTGTTTGATTCCCTTCTCTTCACTTAGATTAAAATTTAGTCTAACATATGCATGTTGTCCATTGAATCTTTAAACGTGCTTTTTTACATTTTTAGTTGTACCAATGATTATTGTTGTCATATCAGTTTTCATCAATACTGATAATTACAAGAATGAAAACTAGTAAGTTTTGGAGTTTTTGTAATCACGATTAATCGAGCTGCACAAAACCCTTGAGACTATTCCAGCCAATATTACAAAGTTATTGAACATTGACAAAACAAACTTTGTCTCCCCCTCCCCC